AAATGAACGTAGTTATGGAAAATTTATAACGTCAATATGCTTGAGATGTTATCAAATAAATATCAACACATTTTTTACATAAAAATAATTACATTATAGCAATGTTTAATAAAGAACAATTAATCTTTACTGTCATGAAATAGCAATATTATAAGCTGTAACTAGAGACGAGCGCCTCTAACATACCATTATGTGAAAAAATATAGTCGTATCCCCCATCATCACAACACTTAGGTTCCCGGTTTTACGATTTCCAGAATTAAAACTGATCTCAGCATCTGGTTAGCAAGCGTTGTTGGCTTTACCAAGAGATATCCGCCACGACATTATTTTATAGCCTATAATATTTTGTTACTTTATCAATGAAGTGAAATCACGAAAAATTTTATAAGGTTTTTTGGCTCATGTCATCAATTTCCGTCTGTGCCAATTTGGATCATGTAATCTTGGCAGGATCTCATTTGATCGTTGATAACACAGGGCCACAAACAACAAAATAAGAGAAGTAGTGTGTGCTTGGGGTGCGACTACATTTTTCCTATGTATTTTTTCGTGCTAAACACGAACCTGAAGTCAAGATTGTAGGTGGGTGGACAAATTTTAGATAAAATGCATAAAAACGATCCACAGGTCAACAAAAAACTGTGGTGTGCAGGGGTCTCTAATTTTTCCTTTTGAACACGAGTCTAAGGCCCGTATCGTCAGTCGACCCTACAATTGTAGGGCGCGTTTATGGCCTCCTTGATTGTCATACTCCTTTCTCTCCTTCAAAAATTTCTAGATTACACTTGTCCCGTGTCAGCGTCAGCGCTCTCCTATTGTGAAGATTTGTTTTCCTTTTAAATTGTAGGAAATTTCAGGCTGATAAAACATGATATAACTCAACACCAAGCACAATTTGATGCAAATTGATGGGGACGACTGACGATACGGGCCTAAAGTCAACATTGGGGAAAAGATGAATTAAATATATAAAATAAATATGAAAGTAATTTAGACATCAGAATTAAACAGTTTAGTATTTCTGGTGGATGTGCGTCTGTCATAGACCTATGTGGAGATGTACGACCACCAAAAGTGCCAAACTGTGTGATCCTAATGCCTGAATTAGTTTCTTATTTGTCCATCAATGAAAATTGCATAGTCAGGTCTTACTAAAGTTAATAAATTTGTTCCAGCTCTAAAAAGGACAAAACTTCATACTATTTCTTTAAAATATTTTAACAAACTACTCATCTCTTATTCTGCACGTCTACCATATGGAAACTTGACAATTTTAAATGTTATTTCAATTAAGTAGCCGTGTAATGATCTGTTTCAACAGAATATTTCGGAACGAGTTCTGGAATGTACGTACCTCGGGCGGAACTGCTAGGTGGAACAAACCTTTTTTAAACTTCTTCTTGATGCTGATATAAAATAGATATTTTGCTGCTGCTGTGACTGGTTTACGAGGTACAGCCGAGCGTGTTCTTTGCGAGTGACCCACCCGGTACAATCCCTGGATGTAGATTTAAGTACTTTGATTCAATTTCCGCTTACAGTTTCCTAGATACTGTCGACACGCTGTAATCTGTGGAATGCGCATTATCTCTTGCATCGCAAGCCTTAGTCCAGGTAAATTATAGGTTAAAGCAACGCTTTCTGAGCCAACGGTGATTATCATTTCCGTGCTAGTATCATTTCATTATATTTTAAGGATATTTTCGCGAGTGCGCGGTGTAGCACAGTGCACTACCGGGAACCGATACTAAAATTTGCGCTAAGAACGGGAATCACGTCGGTGAGGTACTAGCGGGTGACAGGTCTTATGTCAATGTCATTTAAAAAACAGACATCTTAATTGGAAATTGGTCTTCGCAGTGCCGAAAATGGAGTTTAATTATTTATTAAATCATAAATGGAGGAACACGTCCACCTGATTTTAAATGACGAGGGAGAATGTCATCGAACCGCACTTGTCATATCAAATGGTTGATTTTATTGATATGTACATTGCAAACGATCGGTCTTTTTATTTCAGAATCACAGAAGGCAGCTTTTGCGTAAAATGCACCATTCTAGGAAGAGGAGATTCCAGCTGCTCCCGCTCCGTTCACTACGGGATCTCGCGAAAAAATCTCTTTAGTGGAATATGATGGGGTTAAGAAATGAACGTAGTTATGGAAAATTCATAACGTCAATATGCTTGAGGTGTTATCAAATATATATCAAAACATTTTTACATAAAAATAATTACATTATAGCAATGTTTAATAAAAAACAATGAATCTTTACTGCCATGAAATAGCAATATTATAAGCTGTAACTAGAGACGAGCGCGTCTAACATACCATCATGTAAAAAAAATATTATCGTATCCCCCTTCATCACAACACTTAGGTTCCTGGTTTTACGATTTCCAGAATTAACACTGATCTCAGCATCTGGTTATCAAGCGTCGTTGGCTTTACTAAGACATATCCGCCACGACATTATTTTATAACCTATAATAATATTTTGTTACTTTATCAATGAAGTGAAAACACGAAAAATTTTACAAGGTTTTTGGCTCATGTCATCAATTTCCGTCTGTACCAATTTGGATCATGTAATCTTGGCAGGATCTCATTTCATCGTTGATAACACAGAGCCACAAATTACAAAATAAGAGAAGTGGTGTGTGCTTGGGGTCCGACTACATTTTTCCTATGTATTTTTTTGTGCTAAACCCGAAGCTGAAGTCAAGATTGTAGGTGGGTGGACAAATTTTAGATAAAATGCATAACAACGATCCACAGGTCAACAAAAAAACTGTGGTGTGCAGGGGTCTCTAATTTTTCCTTTTGAACACGAGTCTAAAGTCAACATTGGGGAAAAGATGAATTAAATATAAAATAAATATGAAAGTAATTTAGACATCAGAATTAAGCAGTTTAGTATTTCTGGTGGATGTGCATCTGTCATAGACCTATGTGGAGATGCATGACCACCAAAAGTGCCAAACTGTGTGATCCTAATGCCTGAATTACTTTCTTATTTGTCCACCGATCCCCAATTTTGACTCAGCGTGAAAAAGTACATGGGAAAAACAGTGGGCTCCAGGCACACACTCCTTTTTTATTTTGTGGGCTTGTGTAATTTTTTACATGAAATATTATATTGCGAAGAGTTGACACTATCACCTATAAGTAGTTCACCAAACACGGTACGACCAACCCCTGCGTCGGTAGCAGGAAATCACAAAGTTTCCCGGAAACCCTGACAGTCTGCTTTAATGAAATGGACAAGAGTGGCCTACCGTATAGTCATCTCGTCTCTCAGAGGAGTAATAAGTACTATACACAGTTTGAATAGGATCTGTTTGCTTTCGGTTTCTGACCAACCGTATACAACGTTGGTTCCTGCTATTTAGCTATCATCAGTGTAGTATAGATCTAGTCATTTGAAGTTAGATGACGGAAAGCAAACGAATATGATTTACTTAAAAACTCAGTATTCTAATGAGTAGTACTGAGTAGTACTGCCGACCCTAAGTTGGTAGCAGAAAAGTAAACGAAATGTCAGAAAAGTGTGTAGTTTCTTGCTACCGACGTAGGCACCGGTAGTACCGCGTTTGACAAACTACTCATAGGTGGTTGTGTCATCTCTTCGCACAGTAAACCTGTTTTCGTTTGATTAGACTAGACCTAAACAGTACTAATGATTTCTACAAAGCATGAAACGTTATTGGTTTCATCTGACCAAATAATCATGCAGTCCAATCAGCATGAAAATGACAGGAAACAGGAGTTACATGAAACAACGTATATTGCATATGGTTGGTGATGGTCAGAGACGGAAAGCATGATATCCACCTATCTATAGGTTAATTCACCTGGAGTATCTGACCGACGCGACTGCAGTGACCCGAAAAACGTTGGCGCGCCTCGCCCGCCCGGAGAAACCCGGAGTTGTAGCGGTACCCGGAGTGCTGCTCACTTTTTTCCAGTGGAACCAACCGTCCGTCCGTCGTAAATCAAGCAGCCTCGCATTATTAAAAGTTACAGTCTCTTTGCGAGAGACTATTGGAGCGTGCAGAGAAATTTATATTCCAAGCACACATTCAAAAATAATTTTATCTCTGCGATCTGCTGAGACGTTAAGGTCGGTCGTATAAATCAACTGCAAAAATATACAAGGTGGCCCCAAAACGAAAACAAATGTTTGCAAGGAAACAGAGGAACATAAAAAGCATCACAAAATATGTTTGTCTTTTAGATTTTATGATTCGAAAAAAAATATTCTTTCATAGATTCCTTTGATCAAAACTTGCTTGTCGAAACAAAGGAAGGTTGTGTGCTTTGAAATAGGGACTCTATCTAGCAAAGAGTCTCTTTCATTCAAAAAAAAAACGGCTCCAAGAAATCACGATTATGCTGATTCGGCATTTGACATAGAGAGAGGCTTCTCAGTTTTTTATGTTTCAGTGAATTTATATGGGAGGATTTACATAATCCAAGTACACAAGCTAGTCAAACAAAACTCGTAAGAGAACAGAAATGCGAGTACTCTTTGGAAGTTAATTTTTGAAAAGATTACATATAAAACATTTAAATATTCCTCTGAGAAAATAATTTCATTTGCATTATCAATGAAATTTTGCTCATAAATACTTGAAAATATATGTATATTACAAAATTACGAGTATTTTTGGCTAGCATTTCCAAGTTCACTGGCATGGCAAATTATAACAATCATAATAAATATCCATTATAATGACTTAATGCCATCTGCAAAATGCATTCCATCTCTGAGACTCAACATACACTGACCTCAATAATTTACAATATCAGTTATACACCTATAATTCAAGAAAAAGGATGACAAAAAATCTAAGTGAGTGATCAAAATTCAGCAGAAGACTGACTGTCACAAACCTTCTGACAGTTAATTTGAGTCGTTGAGGAAAACAACCTCTCTCAATGATAGAATTGACTAGTAGCCTTTTATACACAATAATTATATAAATTTGTACATACCTACGAAATAAGATGATATCCAAGGATTTATAACTTGTAGGATAATAGCTTACCTGTAAAAGAGAAATACAATGTAATCGTATTCATTTTGGAAAGGGAAGTGAAACACATAAAAATTTATAGGACAACTCGAAAAAAGAATTGTTAGCAATGGTAACGAATAAATAAAGGAGGTTCTATGATCAATTTTGCGGTTTACCTTGCTAATCGTCAGAACGTGTTAACAACTTCATTCAAAATACAAATAACGGTTCAACTACGATCCGTTGGACTTAACATACGTACAAGCCCTGTCTCGGTGAAGTTGTTCCAATGCCCCAAAACATGATTGTGTGAATTTATTTGAGGGCTAATAAAATTTTTACCTCAAATGTAATGTTTTTGGTTTCTTTATATGTTTATGGAAAGATAACAAAACCGACACGGCTATTTCTAAAGCGTTCTTTAGATATTGACTTCTTTGCCAAATGATTTGTGTATAGCAAAATACATGATGGACACAACGGAACTTGAATGGTCTGTTTATTCGCTTCGATGAAATAAAGGTAGGCTTTGTAAAAAAAATGATAAAATTTTACGATGCTAAGAAGCTGATTTTCTGCATTGGTGTTGCTGTTAACAATTAAAAATGGTACAGCTGTTTCCGACGAAATAAGATAGGTGATCATTCACTTGCATTTAAAAGGCCAAAATGCTTTCCAAATCGCTGACAGTGTTAACAAATCGAGGTATACAGTTCGAAATATTATTAACTTATACAAAACAACGGGACCTGCGGCGCAAAAACCCAGAACTGGAAGTCGCCCGCGTTATTCCAAAACCAACTTAAGAGCCTTAAAACGGATTATCAAGGAAAATCGGCGTGCTAATTATAACGATTTGAAAATATTGGAATCAGGCAACCACAAAAAAGAGTTCAAGAGCAACTTGTCACAAAGCTGCCCAAAAACTGGGATTTAAAACTTACAAGGTAGGTTTAAATTATTTTTTATTATTCGTTTTTAATTCGGTATTTCTAGGCAAAACAGAAGCCCTTACTCACAAAGATTCAGAAAAAAAACAAATAGCGTGGGCCAAAGAACACAAATTATGGTCAACAATGGAACTGTGTTGAAGCCAGATTTGATGTATGCGTTGTGATAGTGGAGTCACTTAACAACTCATGAAAAGTTATTTGGAAAACAGGATACAATGTGTGAACATCAACAGTGCACTGAATGAAAATATCTTGTTAGATGCTGAGTTCCACAAGGAACATATTAGGACCAATGCTGTTAATTTATATATATTAATGACCTTTTTAAGTTGAAAAACGATGGAGAAATTATTGGGTTCGCAGACGATACGGCAATTATTTAAAACTTCTTTAAAAAACAAAATTGTATTAGATTTTCAAAAGGTTACAAATTTTATCACGGAAAGGATGTTAACAGTCAATTTCTACAAAACATGCTTTATTACATTTTCTTGCGACAACAGATCTTCCCCAAATTTTAATTAACTCCAAGTTGAAACGTTGAATAGCTGTAGAAACATACAATCGGTTGGTTATTTCAAAAACCCAGAACTGGAAGTCGCCCGCGTTATTCCAAAACCAACTTAAGAGCCTTAAAACGGATTATCAAGGAAAATCGGCGTGCTAATTATAACGATTTGAAAATATTGGAATCAGGCAACCACAAAAAAGAGTTCAAGAGCAACTTGTCACAAAGCTGCCCAAAAACTGGGATTTAAAACTTACAAGGTAGGTTTAAATTATTTTTTATTATTCGTTTTTAATTCGGTATTTCTAGGCAAAACAGAAGCCCTTACTCACAAAGATTCAGAAGAAAAACAAATAGCGTGGGCCAAAGAACACAAATTATGGTCAACAATGGAACTGTGTTGAAGCCAGATTTGATGTATGCGTTGTGATAGTGGAGTCACTTAACAACTCATGAAAAGTTATTTGGAAAACAGGATACAATGTGTGAACATCAACAGTGCACTGAATGAAAATATGTTGTTAGATGCTGAGTTCCACAAGGAACGTATTAGGACCAATGCTGTTAATTTATATAGGTATATTAATGACCTTTTTAAGTTGAAAAACGATGGAGAAATTATTGGGTTCGCAGACGATACGGCAATTATTTAAAACTTCTTTAAAAAACAAAATTGTATTAGATTTTCAAAAGGTTACAAATTTTATCACGGAAAGGATGTTAACAGTCAATTTCTACAAAACATGCTTTATTACATTTTCTTGCGACAACAGATCTTCCCCAAATTTTAATTAACTCCAAGTTGAAACGTTGAATAGCTGTAGAAACATACAATCGGTTGGTTATTTCAAATACCTAGGGGTATTCATAGATAACCATCTAAGATGGAATAAACATATTGAAAATTTAGTAAGAAAATTAAGATACCTTATTCCGAAAGTCAAATATTCCAGCAGTTTTTTAAGCGAAAAATATCTACACATGGGCGGAGTCATGAATAACTATTATAAGAAGATTGAAATTACGCAGAAGTGGATTTTGAAAGTTATGTTGAACAAAAATAAATGTTATCCCTCAGAAAATCTTACAATGAATCTCCGCTTTTCGACTGCCGGCAAATTTATTATCATAAAATAATATATTTAACAAAAAATCAAAAATTGTTAAAACTATCAGTCAAAGATCATTCTATTTTCTATGCTCAAAATTTTACAATGTTATTCCTGCAAACTTTAAACATATAAAATGTAAAAAACTTTTAAAAATTGAATTAAAATCATGGATCGTAAAGCAACCAAGGCTACAAATCCATAAGTTTGTTGACACTAAAAACCTATATGTCATTTGATCATAAAATGATGCAAATTTATACTTTTGACTAGTATGCTTAAAGGAAATTTGTTGTATTAATATAACTTCGGTTAAAACCCAAGCACAAGTGTACACTTTTTTGGGTATATTATGTTTATTGGACATTGCCGTTATTATTTATACGAAAACTTTGTAATTGGACCAATAAACATTATTATTATAAGAACTGAAGAAGAAGTGTTTCAGAATGTCTCAAAAAAAGTTTCTGGCGTCTGTTATGATTTGGGGATCCATGCCAGCAGATGGAGTGGGAAACTTACAATTTGTGTGAGGTATAATGAATGCTGATAAGTACAATATTGCATGTATCCTCCAACAAGACAGTACCGCTTGCCATACGACTAAAACAGTAAAAGATTTGATGTGAGAAAACAATATTTCAGTTTTGAAATGAACGTCGAGTAGTCCACATCTATCGCCGATTGAAAGATTCTGGTATATCATGCAGAAAAAGCTCCGATCGAATCCCAGGAGAACCGTTCCAGAATTGCGAACCCGAACAGTTTTACACCAGACTACCAACATTAGTTGACGTATCGAAGCAGTAATCAGTCGAAAAGGCGATGCAACGCGGTGATGATTTGCTGCTATTTGGATTCGTTGGTTTTTATTAATCGACAGTTTTTTTGAATCTGTAAGATATTTTTTCATTGTTACAAAAATGAAGTATTTTAGGCTAATATTAAATGAAAATATAAGAAACAAATTTTATTTAGTTTTTAGTACGTTTCCGCTAATATAACAAATTTCATAAAAAACGTAGTTGGGCCATCTTCACTGCGACAGAGCTCGTATATTATGTTCGATACATTTTAAATATTCCAATAGCAGCAGTGTGCATTTAGAAAAAAAAACTAGACAAAAACTAAACGCGCTAAAGTGAAATAGTTTATCAATTTCGATATCAAAATTAACAATAACGCATTTTTCGTTGAGATGCTATTTAGTGTAGTAATCGTACTACTTCCGGTTACACGGCCAATCAGACAAAATTACACTACCTAGTAGTAGTAATAGCATCCCCTGTAGCATCTACATTTCTCGCATTGGCAATGCAACGGTGACTCAACATTTATCTTCCACAATAAATGAGCAAGCCAGACGACAATTGTCTGGTAAACTCCCACTCAACCATGGGAACAAACTATCTCAATCCATTGTGCTTTCGCATAAACCAACAAACATTTTAAAAATTGCTATATAGACCAGGAGAAAAGAAATGTTATCTAAAAATACACTTCATCTATTGCAAGAATTTTTAGATCTGATCCATCCTATGAATGCCTAAGTTAAGTTAAGTGGAAGTCAAGTAGATTTCTAATAATTGCAAAGATGAGAAGCATAGCTGTGACAAATTCTCATTCATATATGGCGCTAGGATGACTCATATCCGATTTGTTGAAACGCGAAATGGTTGACAAGGATAATGACAGGATAATATGTTTGGTGCTGAGGTGGGATGCCAGGATATCAAGGAGCCATATAGGATTATAGCTGGTGCAAAAAGCTGCAATAAAAATATATTCTATTGTTGTGTTAGAAAGTATGTCACTAAAATTTTTGCTTGCTTTGGATTAGTGCCAGGAATGCTGAGTTTTGAGTCTTCAGCCTCCCTTTTGGAAACAACCACCATCTACTTTGTCAATTACCACTTATAAGCCTTAATTAAATGTACATAATATAGCGCAGAAAGGTATTATTGAGGTCCGATATTTTTAATCCTAAAAAAGGTTAAGGAGGCAGGATCCTAAGCCTTACTATAACTACAACTATTTAAAACTGTAATGACTCATACGCGTGATCAACACGTGATCAGAGCTCGATCCCGGCTTCCTTCCAGTACAGCCGTATAGCGTACGACATATGTCGTTTCTGTGGCTTTGCGGTGGTCAACAGCACAGACAGAGATGGAAATAATGGCTGATTGTTCTCCGCCGGTAGAACCAATGAAATCAAAGACGCGCCTCGACCGGCAGACTCTTAGGCGTCGGCAACGCATTGGAACGTGTTTCGTTGAGCGATCGCATATTGTGTGTTTTTATAAGAATTGTTGTGTGATTGTTATTGTTGTGGTTTCTGTGGTTACTGTTTTGGTTATACTTAACCATGGAGAGTACAAATGGCACGAGTGGAAGTACTGAAAGCCAGGGAACAAGTAGACGGCTTCGTAAAGCACTGAAGAGGGACGCGAAAGAAATCGTGCTCAACGTGTTCAATTATCTGAACAGAACTATGTCGCAGGGAGATGCACTCGCGCGTTGTGAATGTATGACAGGCGTTCCAGAGTGGACCATTCGCAGGGTGGTGCATGAAAAGAAGAAAACTGGAGCTACTACTGATCCAAAGTTTAATTTAAAGGGACGAAAGGCCGTTCAATTGGATGACGATAGCAAAATGGCGTTAAGGCGAACCGTACATTCATTCTTCTTTAGGAATGAGATACCAACCCTCAAGGCTGTACATGCAGCGATCAAGGAAAATGAAATTATACCACAAATGAGCGTCGAGGTAATGAGGAAATCCCTGCACGAAATTAATTTTCGTAACGAAACGCGTAATCGGAAGTCAGTATTGATAGAGAGATCTGAAATAGTCGCCTGGCGTCGAAAATACCTACGCGAAATGATTGAATATAGGCGGCAAAGCAGAAAAATCTATTATTTGGACGAGACATGGGTAAATGCAGGTCACACAGTTAAAAAAACCTGGATAGACAAAAACTTAGTGAGTAACCGACAAGCAAGCATTGAAGGTTTGTCAACAGGTCTTCGTGGACCGTCAGGGAAAGGTCAAAGATTGATCGTAACTCATATTGGTAGCGATAGTGGCTTTTTAGAAGAGTGTGACTTGATTTTAGTCTCTAAGAAAGGAGGTGATTACCATGACGAAATGAATGCCAGCTGCTTCGAGAGCTGGTTTCAAGGGGTGCTTCAGCGAGTTGAGCCCAACTCTGTGATCGTCATGGATAATGCTTCCTATCATAGTCGTCGAGCCGAACGTGTACCGACTATGGGATCTCGAAAAAGTGACATGCAGCAATGGTTGCGCGAAAAAGGAATCCCGTTTGACGATTCATGTGTGAAAGCGGAATTGTATGATAAAATTAAACAGCACAAACCTGCGAACATTAGTTACGTGACTGATGAGATGGCCCGTCAATATGGTGTCACTGTGCTGCAGTTACCGCCCTACCACTGTGAACTCAACCCAATAGAGCTCATCTGGGCTCAAGTGAAGGGTTATATTGCGCGCCATAACACAACCTTCAAATTACCAGACGTTAAGGTTTTACTTGAGACTTCCATACAGCTAGTAACGCCCGGAGCTTAGCAGAATGCTATCCGTCATGTTGTGAAGGAAGAAACAAAAATGTGGCAGCTTGACCACCACATCGACACCATCATAGAGCCAGTTATAGTCAATTTCAACGAGGAAAGCGATAGCGACAGTTTATTACTGTCAGATGTAAGTGGAAGCGACGATGAATAAAGGTAATTCCCAAATTTTTTACTTACAATATGTTTCAAACCACTCTTTATTAAGCATGTGACAAATCTAGTTCACCCATGTTAAACATTCATACCCCGCCTATGAACAGCCGACTAGTGGTAGTTAAGTGATGTTCACGTGAACATCGATGAGTCATTACAGTTTTAGATAGTTATAGTAGTATTATAACTGTGCCAGGGGGACAAGTCTTGAGGCATAAAATGGAAAGAGGAGCAAAATGGCTAGACGGATTACCTGCAACGTTTCTGACTCGTGCATTCAGCAATGCTTGTGAACTGAGAAGTAGTCATTCTAGAGTTATTAGATTTTTGACTGCTTTTCTAATGTAGTATGTTTAATTTCGATTATGCTTTAAGGGTAGGTATTTATATACTGAAGTGCATTCCAATGAAACATAAATTCATGTGAAATCAATTACTAGATTCTCACAGAATAACAATGACGTTTCACCTTCCCACACATTATCATGGTGGGTTATTCTGCACTCTCAGGAATGGAAAAAAAATGCAAGTTCACGGAGGATGGTAGGTGAGATAATTCACTAACTAAAGAACCCAAAGAATATCGTATAGAACGTATAATTATGAGAGAAATTAACACACTCTTTTCAATATGTTCATATAGTTTCGGAAAAAGGTGAGCAGATAGCAAGGAAAAATGTCAGTGATAGATGCCTAGACGCCTTTTACTACAGCTTCTTGTATATGTCAAGAAATACATACATATTTATATAAAAGTTCTATTCCAAATCTAATAAAATCTAATGAAATACTTTAACATTACTGTGTTCATGAAAAAGACCCAATTCGAGTGGAAACACATAGCGACTGATAAACATGGGGCGAAAGACCATTCTAATACTATTTTGTTATTGGTTTTCGGAATACCGCTTCATTTCGAAGATTCGGATTAGAAAATTTCGTTAGAGCTGTGGCTTTGGAAGCGAAGCTGCTTCCCGGGAAAAACAGTCACAGTATAGTGTAAACTGCCCTTACACGTACTTCGAGATTTTGTTATTTTTTAAACCAACAATTTTGGAAAAATAATATGAATGATTATATTATCAGAATGTAGAATTATGCATTATGTATAATATTCTCCAAACACCTCCCATCAGCTGTTGCTTCAGATAACTATTCTTCAACCAAAATTTTCATAAATCTTTTGGCACAAATGTGGCGTACCTTGAACAATAACTTTAGACGTGCTTTACTTCAAGCATTTAATCGCATGTGGATTGTTTGCATAGCTTTTATCTTTTAGGTATACCTTAAAGAAATGCCAAGCGAAGTTATATTGCATTATCTCGAGGTCACACAGCAATCACAAAAATGTGACAATTTTCTCTTATGACAGCTCTGCTTATTAACAAATCCGTTCATATCGAAGTGTGCTTCATCGCTCATTACCAGTTGTCGGTAAAAATCGTTATTTTGGGTATCAAGCTGCAATATTCCATGACTGTATTGTCGGCGACATTCATGGTCACTAGGCTGGTTCTTGGGTTATCTGAATTTTGAATGGCTGCAAATACAAGTCGTTTTTTAAAATAGACGTGCGACGAATACCCGGTTCTTGAGAACGATGTCTGGTAGACGTCTCAGGGCGCTCCACTACACTTTCACGAACTCTCTCGATATTTTCCGGAGTACGACCAGTTAAGACACGGTCCGACCTTGGCAAGTCTTTAACTTCACCTGTTTGTTCAAATTTCCGCGCCAACTGACGAATGGTGTTGACACTGGGTACATTATTTCGATCGAAATCTGGTCATAGCTTCCGAATCGTTGCAACAATCGACTCATTATTTAAGCAAAACGTTTTAACAATACGGACGCGTTGTGGGATCGTGTAACGCTCCAGTTAAATCGGTCAGTTATATATTGGCCACCCTGTAGATATTTATCCTTTTTCAAAATGAATATATTACCTATCGTCGATAAAGTCAAATACTGTCTACGTGATATAGTAACAATCCTTAATGGAATATTATGATGGACTTGTCTTCGTGACTTTGAATTCGTAAAACGTGATGCTATGATTCTATTTTTGGGGAGCACGCGTACGAGCGCGTTCCACAGGAATTTTAAGTGGAATGCCACAAGAGTTAATGAAACCGACTTTCACTAACCCTTACGGTTTACACCACGCCAGTTATGTATTCGGCTTTACGGTATGTGGAGTGCCCATTACTTGAATGAACCTCCATAAACTGATGAAGGTACCCGTTACATGAAGTGCTATAGCGACTTGAATTTTATGGAACTGTAACGTTAACTTGCATTATATCATTCATTACCATAGAAATTAGGCAACCTAATGCTATTTTCCCTCGTCCAAAAAATTATCTGAGATAAAATAAGATACCGTTCCTCTTTTTTTTAATATATTTGCTTTGAAAAGGGTAGTATCTCATAGATGGGACTGCCTATATGCTCATATAGTTGACTACAGCGCCATCTATGATACACTATCCTTGTCAAAAAAATATATACATATATAGTAAATTGAAAAATAGCTGTGGCAAATTCCCATAGATGTCATATCCCATTTTATCTCGGATAATTTTTTGAACCCTGGAATATAGCACAAGTTTGGTTATCATCATGCAGAATATGTTAATCAATGATTATATACAGCATTAGCACCTTGGTATTGAAACAGTTTTGTATTCTGGAAAAGATTTTTACATGGTTTCATAGTACAGTTCTCGGGAAGAATATTTTACCAATCATTAACAACGTGCTGAAATTTCACATGCTGAAGATAATACTGTTTGAATATACAAATATTTAATTCTTTACATCTCAAAAAGTATGGAAATCATAGTAATCTGAATAGCTCAGGAAATTTGGTATAGTAATAGTATTTTCCATACTTGTGTGGGCTTTTTAAGGTTTTGCAGGAGAGCGCTGAAAAGGAAGAAGTTTAAACGTAATTTTACGGTTTTGATAAGAAGAGTTTAGAGCGGCTCTTTATCGTATTTATAACAACAATTTAATTTCTAAAACTAGCTTTGTCATATTATTTTGAGTTTTTCTAAAAAAATGCACGCTGCATATAATGAATGTCACATCTATGTAATTCATATCGCGATACATTCACAAGATCATACTAAATCATTTGAAACTGCAAGCACAGTCCACAATTGTTTGTAGAAAATGGCATCAAGTAGATTGACTTTATACTCCCTACCCCTTCGAAACGACTTCGAGTACAATTTTTTATATATTGCAACGACATTAAAAAGACGTAGTGCACTATTTCTTTGGAGCTCTAGTTAAAAAAATGTTTGATAACTGATTATAATAACTCTCGGTAGGTACGAACTTACATATATAATATATATTATATTACTTTAAGAAATCAAGTAACCTCATTAAATTACACTCCTAATTTAAGGCTCGTATACATAGATAATATCGCGTCCACCTCGTATGAGCAAAGATGCAATATTTATTATAATCCCGTGAAGCACAGCAAATATTTTCCAAGCTTTAAGGGTAAATGTACGGAGAAACTTATGATGAGTACAATATGTCTAAAAGGTTAGTAGAATTACCGGGGTTGGGCGTGTATTAATATACTACCAGCAAATAAATGCTATAAACCTATCCGCCACCACTGGTCCGATTATCAAAAGCTAGCTACAGAGCTTTTTCGTCCTTGGGATGTGTAAAAATTTCATCCAAATCCGAGTAATACTTTAAATGGGTGACATGGGTTTCATAATGTACATACATATTATATAACATCCAAAAAACAACATCTTATTTTCAGTAGGCGTGGGAAGTAAAATCAAAAATCATCTTACGTTTCCATTGTTTTAATGTTTACCCGTGAAACTCTAGTTCTCTTGAAAAATGCCATGCTGTTAGCTGGTTTGGGAAAAACGGGCAAAGATGATAATATTGCTCTAATACAGAAATAGTACTGAAAAAATACCATCATAACTAACTTCTGAAGCTCTTCCGATTACAAACTAAGAAATAATACAGCGACTTCATAGCCGCCCTACGAAAACCGGTACGGCAATCCAAACAATCTAGTGTTTATTAAATGGTATGGAGAGCACTAATTCTTTACCTGAACGAGGCTACAGACGGATGGTCGGTAGGTAATATGCGTTTACCTGAACTGAATGGCCCGTTCACCATCATTCAATGTCGCCATTGGTTGGTTTGGTTATAGGGACAAACACCTTCGACCTTGCTTTGTCTGCCTCTTTGTTCGGCTGGTAGACATGCGAGCTGAAAACGCACCGATGCCATGTTCCAAGTAAGAAGAGTAAGCCTAGATGCGGTTTGCGAATGCGAATTGGTTTGCTGGAAATTCACACCGGTTATGTTGACGCGAATTTCGCAATAATTTTAGGAATATTGACTTTTAATGTTATTATACAGATGCTTCACAACTTATCCGACAAATTTTTACCACATATCCACTGTTACGAAAGAAGTTGATTTCTCAAAAAAAAAGTAATAAAAGTCCAACAGAAATTAAGTTATAAACCTAAGTTTCAATAATAAATTGAAAAATAAATATCTGTGTTTTGCGTTCATCGTCGTGATATTAGAACATACATTAATAATTTATTGTAGCAAATGTTGTACCAAACAAGAGACAAAAACAAAATACCAGGAACTTTTTGTTTTTTCATACTGATAAGAACGTGTAAATAAGGTTTGATCTGTATCGTTGGTGATCTGTATGAAGAACGGTCGATTTTTGTGAAGTTAAATAAGAAAGTATTTTGCGAATTTATGTTTTTAGTTATTTCTTAATAAAAATGGCACTTGTGTACACTAATGAGGAGTTAGTGAACATTGTTTTAGCGTACGGAGAAGCAGGGCAAAATTCGCGAGCGGCTTCTCGTTTGTATGCACACCGATTTCCGAATAGGCACATACCACATCACGAAACATTTAGTTCAATTGTTTTACGTGCACGTGCTAAAGGAGATTTGCGCCCCAGACGTGGAGTGGATGGTGGTCGGGTTCGCCCACAACGCGTTTTAAATGCCGAAGACGAAATTTTTTATATTGTGGAAGAAAATCCGGGAATAAGCACAAGGCCCAACTGTACCCTTATCACTTCCAGAGTCCAGGCGTCGCTACCTACAGACTACCAGATAAGAGTAAGATTTTGTGAGTGTTTGTTGGAAGAAAATGCTCGAAATGCCCGGTTTACAGCTGACATTTTGGTCCGTTGAGAATCCTCACGCAGTGGTCTAGACACACTTCCAACACCGTTTTACTTTAAACGTGTGGGCAGGTATTGTCGATGAACGTCTAATTGGACCGTTCATATTGCCAGATCGGATGGATGGTCATCAGTATTTGGAATTTCTTCGGAATGATTTGTCGGTTCTTCTTGAAGATGTACCATTAGCGGTCCGAGCACGGATGTGGTTCTGCACGATGATTTTTTTAATCAGGTATACCAGATACGCTGGATCGGAAGGGGTGGACCAATTGCTTGGCCTCCACGGTCTCCCGATCTAAGTCCTCTGGACTTCTGTTCATGGGGACACTTGAAAAACGAGGTATACCGTACTCCAGTTCAGAACATTGATGAATTGCGTGACCGAATCACAGTGGCTGCCGATAATTTGAGCTTTCAGGCACAGCAGGAAGGTGTATTTGAATTAGTGCGCCGAAATTGGATTGGACGCGCCCAAGCTTGCATTGCAGTCAATGCAAACAATTTAGAACAGCTTTTATAAGTAAGTGAACTGTTGAACTGTATTATTTGATTATCTCGATTTCTGTACGACTTAAAATAAAAAAATTGTTATGAAACACCCTGAATGGTAGCACCTATGGTTAGGCTTGAATGCTCGTTCTGCCATTTCTGTGGTTATTACTAATTTGTGACAATTGGCCACTGGCCTAGGTTGGAAGCATAAATGGCATTGGTGCTGATCTAATGGCCAATACGACCCCACATTTACACTCGGCATGACATATTCGTTCTAAAGAGTTTTAAGATTATTAATAATATATTTACGTAAACTATTTTAGGTTAGATGTGAATCCAGGGTTTCACTCATGCTTAATCTCGCAAAATGTCCAAAAATATGCCGGCACAATTATGAGAAATAATGAAACAAAATACAAACGCAGACCAAATAATTTTGGATTGCGCAAGCGTCAACCCCAGATTTGACAGGAATGTCACAATATTCGGAGGCGAATCGTAAGCAATTAACTTTTTTTTTAAGATAAACTGTGGAGTAAACTCATCCAGTCCTATGGTGAGGCTCATCTTGTTAGATATCCGTCCTAATTGACGGATTCTGCTCAAGACCAGCAGCGAGTTCCTCCTAGTCTTAGTGGATTTCATCTGACACAATAGCGGCAGCGGCTGGGAAAAAGATACGCTATTTGTTTAGGGCGAAGAAGTAGTTTTCACCTCATTACCTCCTCACTCTACACACGGTGCAGATGAGGCCTAGCCTGGAGTACTGCTCACGTGCTTGGGATGATGTCGCCCGACGGAATTTTTTCGCACCGACTACCCGTCGATCTAGCTCTCTTCTATCGCTATGTCAGACAGACCCGCTTAACTTCTCCCATTCTAACAGTAGTTGTCGAACTTTGTACATGTGTTTAGGCCTTAGGCCTTCGTGGTAGTTGGAGTATAAAAAAAGATCCAGATCTAACCAAAGTGACGGCTCCTTTATCCCTAGGGTATCGAGATTGTGGAACAATCCACCTGAGGAGGCTTTTTTCAGGTCTACTAACATCAGGCAGTTCAAAAATCGGCTCATAGCAGTCGTGGTGCTCTGGTATTTAGGATTCTGCCTACGCGGCTGCTTCGGCATAAAAAGTACAGACCTCCTGAGACAAAAAAACAAATTCCTGAAGATTTGTAAAGAATGCATGCCAAATAAATTAATTTTATACCAACTATGAATTTCTCACCATGAGCATTCTGGGATTGTTCGCATATGCCCCAAAGTCAAAAATGCAAGCCGTTGACTCGTTTTGTCAATCTTCTACCTGACCTCTCCTTATCAACAAAGGAAATGGAGATAGTTTCTAGTCTTCCGGCTACATGTATTTTAGAAAAGAAAATATTTTTAGAATAAGGCGCGTCGTCTGGGTCATTAGATGATAATATCTTGTCGATAGGAATACAACTTAGGCGCACTAAAATGCTGTATATTTA